ATATATATATATATATATATATAAGATATGATGGATTATAAATCTGTCTAAAGACATATTTACATTTATTTACAATGTAACATATTTTTACTGGTTTAATTTAAGTATAGTGCTAGAAAGTTTACCAATTTTTATTTAATCTTTCATTCAATTAATTAATAAAATAAGTATATTAATCAATTTTCATACAAGAGAACATAATAAATTATTTACGAAAGACTAATGTGTAACTATGGAGTTTATCCTATCAAAATTTAATCAAGTTTACTCAATTTTGGTTTCAAATCTAAATTACNCTTAAAATATCGAAGGAAAATAAAATAAATTTAGAAAATATCTAGTTGAATGATATCAATATATATATATATAATATAAATTTATTTTATTATTGAATTCAAAAAGTATTTCTAGACAGACAAGTGAATAATCGATCCATTGGATTGTATCGATAGAAATATTGGAAAAGAAATTAAAGATAATATCCTAGAAGAATAATTCTCCTTTCAGTGAAATGACACATGGCTCTCACTTTATACCAAGATGAAATGACTTATCTCTTTCTTTCTTTTTTTTTCAGTTCCTCCAATGATATGGATCCCAAATCAGCTGGTAGGTGCTGCTGAATCTTCGGATGTTGAATTGGAATGCCATACAGAAGCGTATCCTCTGTCTTCCAATTCCTGGCTACGTAAAAACGATATGGTTATAACTGATAGCGATAAATTTGATATCTACATATCACAAAATACGTACAAGGTGCATATGAAACTAACTATTCGTAACCTCAGAGCGAAAGATTATGGTGCTTATAAATGTGTTGCCAAAAATACGTTAGGAGAAACTGAGGGGTCTATCACCTTATATAGTAAGTATTTATCGTAAATAATTTTACGTTTTGAAGAAAATTTTGATTTAGAAATATCATATTGTATAATAATCATCATTCCTTCAGAAATTTATAACCTGAATTATTGATTTCTAACGTTTGTATATAAAAGATATATACGTGTTTACTTGTATACAAAATGTTAAAATTTGTTTTAACACGAATTTATATAGTCGTATTCGTTTTCTAATTTATAATTGAAGAAATAATATTTTATGACAGCTTAAAATGATATTCCCTTGGTGAGAATTCAATGACAAATGACAGTAATGTTTCATAAAATCATCGATAGAAAACTGCCTCTTTCTAACTTTACTTCTGTAAAAAGAACTTATACTGATAGTGAATGACAAACATGACGTATATATATATTACATATCAAGAAAATTTTAGTATTTTTTATATTTTTTTATTCCTCTTACATATATAAGTTTTATATATATATGTTACACTATTTTTTATCTTTATCTTCGTGTTAAATAGAGAAAAATACACGTTTTGTATTAATAAAATGCGGGTGTTTACTTTACTAAATCGGAATTTAAGATTTAATTGTGATATTCTTTATAAATAACAACAGCCAGAATGTAAAATATATAAATAATCAGTTCCAATTATTTTTCTAGCGAATTGAAAATGCTTATAAGCATGAGCAATTTTCTATATTTTGATCTTTCGTGTGAAGATGAAAGTAAGGTTTCTTTTATTTTCCTACCTAAAACAATAATAAATGCATTTAAATCTTTCACAAAAGATATTCGAGTTTGTTGTTAAGTGATTGAAATAACATTTTCTTCTTCTCTTTTTTTATAAATAAAATAAAAAAGTGGTGTATTAAATGTAATATTCATTACACAATTGATTAGAGAGTTGATTAAATGTTTCCATAGCATAAAATGTTTGTAATTTTTTAAAAATAATATAAATAAAAAAATATTATAAAATATTAAAATTTCAAGAAACATTATTGCTAATTTTTTATATTTTTTGTTTTGATTAATTGTCGTAAAACGAGCTTTAGAATTTCTATTAAGTTCAGTGTCTTACGATAAGATTACGTTCCTGAAAATA